GCCACAGATACAAGAGGCCAAAATTAGTTATATCCGCAGGGTGGCTGGGCTCTCCCTTAGAGATAGGGTGAGAAGCTCGGTCATCCAGGAGGGACCCAGAGTAGAGCCGCTGCTCCTTCACGTCAAGTGGAGCCAGTTGAGGTGGCTCAGGATCTGGTCAGGATGCCACCGGGACGCCTCCCTGGTGAGGTGTTCTGAGCACGTCTCACTGGGAGGAGACCCAGAGGAAGACCCAGGAGACGCTGGAGGGACTGTGTTTCTCAGCTGGTCTGGAAACGCCTTGGGATTAACCTGGAGGACCTGAAACAAGTGGATGGGGAGAGGGAAGTCTGGGCCTCCCTACTTAGGCTGCTAACCCTGCAACCTGACCCCGGATAAATGGAAGATGGATGCATGGATAAATAAATGCACATACACACTCACATGCATGATGCACATAAATCAATCAATCAAATTTTATTTGTAAGGCACATTTCATCAGCAAGGCATTTCAAAGTGCTTTACATCATCACAAACACAAAAACACAGAGTCATGCAACACAGAATCAACAATCAAAACATTATATTAAGTCAAGTGCCATCATTAAATTCATAATTGATTACATTTCAAATACAACTCTAAACAGGTGGGTGTTTAGTCGAGATTTAAAGGCACTCAGTGTTTCAGCTGTTTTACAGTTTTCTGGATGTTTGTTCCAAATTTGTGGTGCATAGAAGCTGCTTTAGTTCTCTAAGTATAGTGTCAAGCAGATGAGGTTGCATAGCTCTAAGAAACTAGATTCCCGTAACATGTAGTTTATTTATTGTACAAACATTTAAAACATCCCAGATGGAGACAGTTGAAATTTCACAATCAAAGTCCAAATTGCATCAAGACAAAGAAAAATACCTTCTATGTTTGCTTCACGTTCAGCTTCTGTTCATTCGCTCAGCTGCTTTCAGAAGCTAATAATGTATCTTTGTAGAACATCTAGAGCTGGACAAAACCTGTTAGATAGGGCCAAGTGTTTGCACTTTATAAATTGCTTCACAAAACCTGTAAGATCCATTCATATACAGAAAATCATGTTTCAACTGTTCTCCTGATATATGTGTTGGTGTGGCTAACCATTTTCTCTGAGGCTACAAGGTTCCTTTATTACATTATAGCTGGAGCCTTTTCTGTGAAGTTTATCTTTTCCTCTGCTGGTTTTGTATGACTACAATTTACATGTTTACATTTGTGAGCTTATGTTGAATTTTCACAAATTACAGTCATGATGTCATCCATCTAAGGTGCAGAGCTCAGCTGAACCATCAGAACAGAGTTCTCTGGATTCTCCTCTGTGGGTGGGATGGCAGAGGATTTGGCTTTTTTATATTTCTTTTGCTTCCAAGAGAAGTAGAGACAAAGGGCAATTAGAGGAAGAACCACAGTAATACTACGCAATCCCAAAGAGAGCCAGATACGTTTAAAGACAAAAAAAAAAACTTCATTGTTTAATTAAACTGATGAGCTTTCACTGTAGATTGTTAGGTTGAATTTATTGCTGGATGAACTCCATCAGTTTTCACACCAGAGGACGAGGTAATCTATGAGATTTTTACTAATTTTCACTTGCTAATGTATCAGAGTTGATAATTGTCGTTTGGGCTGCTATTTGCTATTTGACTGTCTTCTTACACACATTAGTACATTTAGCTGTTGGAGAGACTCTTGTTAGTTCAACACACAGGGTGCTATTTCATTTATGAACCCACAAAGCGATTTGTGTCCCATTTGAAGTGCAGTTACTGAATGTGAAGGTTAGAAGCAAACAAACGACTAAGATAAACTAATGATTTATCTTTTCTCACTCACCACAGCCAGCTAAGTTCATCTCTTTGGAGGAGTTACTGACTTGATTCCTGACTGAACAGACCAGATGTCCTGAGATGTTTTGTCTCAGAACGATGATGTTGGTCTCAGTATTTCTAGAGAAGAGCTCAGAGTCGGTCAGTGTGTGTCCATCCAGAGTCCAGCTGTACTGAGGACTGTCGCCCTGAGACACACAGGACACCTTCATCTGTCCCTGAGACAAACAGTCATGGGACAGCTGGACAGAGGACACAGGAGCTGAGAGAGAAACACATGAAAAATGAATGACAGTAAATAACTTTTTTATTTTGGTGGAAAACTGGAAAGTATAGAAGACAAACTGAAGTATGTTGTAAAATATTTTTTATTTAATATAAGTAAAGTGTCTACCTACGTCCTGTTGTGAATTGAAACAATGTAAGAGAAAAGAGTTAAAAATTAGGAAGAGAGAGAGTTTATTACCTTGAACAAATAGTTGCAGAGTTCTACATCCCATCATATATCCATCTTCATCAAACATATCAATTTTATATTCACCGCTGTCAGTCCTTGTCAGGTCATTGATCCTGACTGATCCATTACTGGGAAAAAAGGGAATTCTGTCGTTCTTTGGAGTAACAATTTTCTTTTTCCTCCATTTTAGTATTATAGAGTTGCCCTTTATCCATGTGAATCTGGGTATTTCTGACACGTTGTTCGTCAGCTGAATGTCTACTGCTCCTCTCAAGTTTGCAAAACACTGAGCTCCATGCTGTCTGCCATCACATGAAGTTTTCTCCACTTAAGTAAATAACAAGAATTAGGATGATGAATAAGAATAATTTTATTATTATTTTTGCTTTTTACAAAATGAAGGGATTCTCTTAGCCAATGGACTACAAATATTAGAAAGAAAATTAATCATTGTAATACTTTGTTCAGTTATTTTAGATTCAGGGATCTGTTTTTGTACCCACCAAAACCACATTGTTTTTGCAAAAATCACACAAAGTGACTCTTCAGCTCATTATCAATATATGCAAAGGACAAACCTACGCATTTTTTACATTTCTGATTAGGACAAGTAAATAATGATTTTCAAGGATCATCAAATCATGTGATCATAGCAAAAAGATTTTGTCAAGATTTTATTTGTTGCAGGGTTCCATAAAGTCGATTTTCATCATGAAAACAGAAACCACATTTTGATTTTCACTGTTGTTGTTTGTAAAAATCAAAAATCAAATAATCATAATAATAAAGGAATTCAATTCAAAGATTAAAAATATTAATTCAATACATTAACTACTAGACATATCATCTGAAAACTGGATACTATTCATATTTTTCTCACTCACCACAGTAATTTAAGTTCATCTCTTTGGAGGAGTTACTGACTTGATTCCTGACTGAACAGACCAGATGTCCTGAGATGTTTTGTCTCAGAACGATGATGTTGGTCCGAGTATTTCTAGAGAAGAGCTCAGAGTCGGTCAGTGTGTGTCCATCCAGAGTCCAGCTGTACTGAGGACTGTCGCCTTGAGACACACAGGACACCTTCATCTGTAGCTGAGACAAACAGTCATGGACCAGCTGGACAGAGGACACAGGAGCTGAGAGAGAAACACATGAAAAATGAATGACAGAAAATAGCTTTCTTTTTAATTTTGGTAGAAAACTGGAAAGTACAGAATACAATATTGAAGTTTGTTGCAAGATACTTTTATTTAATATCAGTAAAATGTGTTTCTATACTACTTCATGTTGTGAAGTCATGAACTGTAACAATGAAAAGGAGCAAAAAATTGAGGAAAATTATAAAAGAAATACTTGATTACCTTGAACAAACAGTTGCAGAGTTCTCCTTCCTGTTTCCTTTCCATTTTCATCAAACATTTCAATTTTATATTCACCGCTGTCATTCCTTCTCAGGTCATTGATCCTGACTGATCCGTTAATGGGGAAAAAGGGAATTCTGTCATCCTTTCGAGTAATAACTCTGTTATTCCTCCAATAAAGTATCACAGAGTTGTTCCTTTTCCATCTGAATCTGGGTATTTGTAACACGTTGTCCATCAGCTGAACGTCTACTGCTCCTCCCAAAACTCTAAAACACTGAGCTCCATTTTGTCTGCCATCACAGGAAGGTTTCACCGCTTAAAGGAATAACAAGAATAAGTACAAATAGTGCTCAAGTGCTTTAAAAAATACTATTATTATTATTACTATTACTTTCTGAGGACAAATGACTAATCTTTTTTAACTAGTGACAAAAAGAGCAGCAGGAGATCCAATTAAATCTCACAGTAACAAACAGGTGCAACATTTTCACTTTTCTTTGAATACAATGTCTTATTGGTACTTTAAGGCAATCAAAATCTCCTAATTAACATGTTTGCTTATAACATGTGACAGCCAGGTAGATAAAAGTCTAAGATTTTGTCTCAGTAATTATGGCAAGTCTTTGACTTAAAGTTTAGAAATCATGCCAAAGATGTGGCAGATCAGAATAAAGTATGTTTAAAGGTGTTTTGAAACAGAAATTGAGTTTAGCTGATTTAGAGAATTTACTATGGAGTAGAGGACAAATAAAGCCATCACCTGTTGATGTTGTCTGATACATAGAGGAAGCCAAACATATCATCAAGCTCAAGTAGTTTCTTCAAAATAGTTGGTACAATATCATTACTCCTAACAGTTTTTTTTTCTTCAAATTGTTTCTGAAGTAAATGGAGAAAATGCAAGAAGTTACTACTTGCCTCAAACTACACATAAAACATCGCATTGCAAACACTTTACTGCCCTCTAGCGTCTGAGCTGAATGACTCTTAAGTCATCCAGACATTAAGGGGTTAAAACAGTGGTTCTTAACCTGGGTTCGATCGAACCTCTGGGGTTCGGTGAGTCGGTCTCAGGGGTTCGGCGGAGCCTCTGCCGCGGAGGTAAAGACTGTGTAAAGTCATGATGACGCCCCGCTTTGCCATCACTTGCTCCAGAGGATCACGTTACATTGCTTAGCCAATCAGTGCTGCGGGAAGGAGCTCCACTCTCAGCATGGATTTGAACTTGTGTCTTTAATTACTTCAGCAAAGCTCACAGTTTTTACCTAATTCTATAGTCTAAATCTGCTCCTTAGTGGCA